GAAATCACAATGCGTCAGCATCGATCACCGACCATCGCATTGCTTTGTTTTAATTAAACAGTCGGATTCCCCTGGTCCGTGCCAGTTCTGAGACGGCCGTCTGTTGCCAGCCGCGGCCGGGGAAACGGGAGGGAAACCCCGGCCTTTGCCCGAGAGGCGCCTTCCGCGTTGGTCCCGACCCGCGACGGCGGGGGCACCTGCTGCCGGCGGGCGCTCGGGCTGCGCGGCTCGAGCGGAGGGGAGGGCACCCGGCGGCGGTGGAGCGCAGAGCGGCCGCGGGCCCGGCGACCGCCCCTGCGGGGTCGGGTCCGAGCTCGGAGCGACCTCGTGAGAGGCCGCCCCTCGCCCAGTCCTTCTCCCTCGGAGCGGGCCGAAGCGCCGCGGCGCCGCAGGCCGCCGATGCCGCGGGCACCCTTGGGTCCCCTCCTCGCCGCCGCCTCCGCGCGTCGCCGGCGGCCGCCCGCCAGGAGAACGAGGGACCGCTTCCGGCTGTGGGCCCGGCATGGCTCGACCCTCAGAGCCAATCCTTGTCCCGAAGTTACGGATCTAACTTGCCGACTTCCCTTACCTACATTGATCTATCGACCAGAGGCTGAACACCTTGGAGACCTGCTGCGGAGTAAGGTACGGACTGCCCCCCCGCGACGCGGGCGTGCTGGGTTGGCATCTCAAGAAAACTCCCGAGGGCCCGTTCTCTGCTAGAAGACCTGCCTAGGTTTTAAAGGTTTTAAATAACCACCACCGCCCCTGCGGCGGCGGCGCGTGTCCTCTCGACCTCCACCCCACAGGGATCGCTCTCCTTTCGGCCTGGAGCGTTCGACGAGCAAAGCGAGAAGCGCATTGCGGAGCCGCGCACAATGCCGCCGCCCCCCTCATCATCATCGTTTTCGTTTTTTCTCTCTCTTGGTTTGGTTGGTTGGTTGGTACCGGAGGGGGTTTACCCTATCCACCTTTTCAAGGGCCGGCGGTAGCGCACGGGACACCAAGCGCTTATTTGCGCGGTGCTCTACGGCGAACCGGTGGCGATCGCAACAGCGAGGATTGCTCCCAACAGATCACAATCTCACGTATGGCTGTTACGGCCAACGACCCCCACTCAAAGTGAACGAACTTGGGGGCCTCCAGCAGCCTAAAAAAGAGAAGAAAGCTCTTCCCCGGGCTACCGCCGGCGTCGGCGAACGAGTACGCCTGTTGCCAAGCACACACACTGGCCTCCGGACCACCGGATCTAAGATTCGAGATTCAAAGGGGGGCTGGCTGCCAGCGCGCCCGCGCACTCTCTTTTGCTCTTTCTTTCTCTTCTCAAAGCTCTCCCGGAAGCCGTGGCGGTGGAAGCCAATCGTCAAACCCCTCGACCGACCCGACCCGACCACAACAAGCAGGGTGGGAGGAGGCAGGGGGAGATTCTTTTCCACGCCGGTTTTCCGAGGAGGAAGAGGAGGAGCTTACTCCGAGAGCGAAGGGGAGGTCGTAGTACACACCGTCACGGTTAGGGGGTCTCCAAGCCCGCAAGCGGGCGAGACCGGCGAGGTCGGCAAGAGAGCGGTGGTCGTCGTCCGCCGCCGCCGCCGCCGCCGCCGTTTCCGCCTCCCCGCGGGGGGAGGGGAAGGGGGGGCAGGAGGGGGGGGGGTCGTCGACTCCCACTCTCTTCAGAGAAAGCCCTCTCACAGAAGGGGGGGGCGGGAGGAGGATCGTCGTGACCGCGCGACGGCAGCAGCAGCAGCGGCCGCAGAATCATCCGCCGCCGCCGCCGCCCATGCCGCCGGCAATGGTCAGACGGCCACCCGCACGACAAAACATTGTCTTTCCCACGCACGGGTCTGTCTTTGCCACAGGGCAGGTCACGGGATTTTAACCGTATTCCCTTTAGCCCGAAATCTGACTGGACCGTTTCTTTTGGCTTTCTTTCTTTTTTCTCTTTCTCCTTTTTTGTTCGTTTTGGATCCAGACAAATTGCTGCGAGAGGAGGCTTTCAGGAGGAAGGGGTGTCCCCGGGGGCGTGACCGGCCGTCGTCGGACGGCCAAGCCAAGACACCGGAAGAGGCTGCTGCTGCTGCCGCCTCCTCCTCCGGCGCCGACAAGCCTCCTCCTCCACCTCCTCCTCCCCCTTTACCGCTGCCGCAAAGCGGCAGCAAGGGGAAGAAGGGGGGAGGGCGGGCTCGTGCCGCCGCCTAGGGCCCCCAATCTCGCTCCTCTCTCTCTCTCTCTCTCCAAAACAGGGAGTCTTTCGGCTGTGCTCTACTGTTTTGTGGCGTTTTCCAGGGGATCGGAGGGAAGCTATCCTCGGGCTAAGGGCCGACTTATCCACGACCAAGCGATGTTGGCGGGGAACCCTCCTCCGCTTCGGTCAACGAGGGTTCGGCTTGCTCGAGCATTTGCTACTACCACCAAGATCCGCACCAGTGGCGGCTCCAGACCGGCTCGCGCCGTATCCTTCTACGCTCACCACCGCGCCCTCCTACTCGCCGGGGCCTCGAGACCTCCTCGACGCAGCCCATAGTGCGCCCGGCGGTCGAGTATCGGGAGGATGCTTGAGCGCCATGCCATTTTCGGGGTTACTTGCTTCGGCAGGTGAGTTGTTACACACTCCTTAGCGGATTCCAACTTCCATGGCCACCGTCCTGCTGTCTATAGCAAGCAACTCCCTTCCATGGGATCGGAATTAGCATCCATTTAGGCCCCTTAACTCGACGTTTGGTTCATCCCACAGCGCCAGTTCTGCTTACCAAAATTGGCCCACTAGGCACTCCGATTCTCGTCCGGGGCTTCAGCGAAGCAAGCCCGGCACCTCACCCATTTAAAGTTTGAGAATGGGCTGAGGACATTTCGTCCCCAACACCCCTAGTCATTCGCTTTACCGGATGGAACT